TATGCGATGTGTATATCATTCTAATCTTAATATTAAAATACCGTATGTACAACAAATGTACAACTGTAGTAGATTCAGGAACAATTAAGTATACAATCTACATTATTGGTTTCCTTTAAAGCTTGATTCATGTTAGACTAAATTATATTTGCGCACCATAGTAATTATATCACAATATATCAAGCTAGTATTATATACTTATAGAATGATCTCTTAACGGTTTCGCTTATAAAATGTTCACGGTACATATTGATTGAAACGTGATGGAAACGTGATTCCATGTTACGTGTATACGCGTACCGTGCAATTTGGAATTTGAGACACAGTTTGATAGACATCGTTTGATTTTTATACGTGATGATGAAACGTAGTTGTGCGCATCGTCTATCAAAATAAAAGTTATTAATATTGTTTTATGTACATTACGTAAACTAAATGACCGGTTTAGAAAAGTATATTATATGTACACGCCCGATGAATAAATAAGTTGATCGTGGATGTGTTGCATGTAAGACATACAGTTAAACAGAGGAATGTATCAGTACAGTTATTTTGACTAGATTTAAGTGAAGATGATACAGTTATCACGCGTATCGGATATAAAAATTGCATGCCACAAAATGCATCGATGAATGAGCTTTAATTTTTCTCTGGCCGTCGCGTTTGTTAGTATTATCGAATTTGAGATTGGTCCGAAATCTAAATATATAATTTCACTGTTACGGTCTTACATCGTTAAAATTGCGCAAGTATATCCCAGTGACGTTGTCTTAAAATTTATATATGGCATACACCATTCGGAATAAGTACACGACGTTCAACAAATCAGTTATTTACATAACAATTAACATACAAGTTCGGTTAATACATAACGAAATATAAATTAAGCTCTTATACATTTCGAAAGCAATCTTAAAAAAAATAATACTTTACATAAAGCGATATTAATAACGATGAATATAATCACTTTAAAAAGAATGATATATATAAGTACTTATTTGTTTCTCAGACTTTTTTAAACTCAAATCACATTCTTTTAAGAATTCCGATAAAAATAAGAAAACACTGTAAGCCCTTCGAAGAATACAAACGAAAATTACTTTCTACTGATTTCTTCCCAAATACGCATTGAACAATGTGCAATTATTGTCTGGCAGTATTATGATATTCTACTGCGTGGATGAATGAAGCTTAATTTGTATGGCAAAACGACAGATTAACACATTTATCATAGAAAGAAGATGATATCTATTGTAGAATACTCATAATTGCTTGTGTAATGCCTCAGTAATTAAATTATAGGTGTACCTATCAGTACCGATCAGTTTACATTACAGAATCCGTTTGCGAAAGGCAGCATCAATGTCGGATAAACATATAAGGTACATTGATATTGTTTTATGCGCATCGGCGAAGCATTCGTTAAGTGTAGAAATATACATACGTAAAACAGATTTATTACATTATTTCGCTCGAGTTATTGTCGAGTTAAGCTTCGTGTTCGCCACTGTTTATTCCTATTAGCGATTCCGTTTGCTCCGCCTCGAGATCCGGTATTCTAAAATCAATAGTGCACGGTTTTTTCAACGAACTCTATGTACAAACGTTTACTCTTGTGACTTTCGTACCTTATCGATCTATTTCTCCTACAAATCCAAATGTAAACCCTTTTTATCAAATCCATGACTGGATCCCAATTATCATAGTAGAACAGGAGAGACACAGTTAAAAATGCTAACAACATTGGGACGGTTCCCAGGTAGAAAATGCAAGGGTACTGGACTTTTTTTAATAAAACATCTGCTATCATTGACATTGGCATAAGTAAACTCACTGCCAATGTTGCTATTAGGGATGACGTTAGGAAACAACCCCTGTAAATAGATAATCATAGAAAAATGACGTCCAGATGACAAATTATATAATAAATGAAACGTTACCATAACCAGAGTACTTCGCTTAGAACTGTACCAATCAGACCATTGATGATTAAAAATGTCCACTGATGGGTATCTGGCCATTCGAATTCTTCCCAATGACCATAATGCAGAATAAAAAACAGTGGCCACAGAAGTGTCAAGTTAAACAGTCCAACAAATCCAAAGAACATTGGAATATCCATTTTATCTTCGTGATCCACCTTTCTCTTTAGAAATACAATATACGCTGCATAGAAAAATGCGCTAACTAGGGCCAATATTATGCCTGTAGGTATCCTATTAGTTTCTATACTTAAATCTGAAAGACCTACTAGAACCTGAAAGTAAAAGGAAGTTGATCAAAACGAGTTTTTGCACGAAAGGTCATCAATAATTTTACATACTAGTCCAAGAATGCTGATAGTCACAGCAATTAGTTTAGACAATGTAAACTTGTCTCCTCCATTGCTGGGGAAAAAGGCAGCAAGGAATAGAGTGAATAAGCTCGAGGTCGACGTCAATACAGTTACAACCCCTGCTTCGGTTTTAACTAATGATATTTGATAAGTATAATTGGCCATAAACCACTGCAATGTAAAATGCATTACATGTGGATCAGTAGCAAACACATCGTTCATATCTTAAGACGATACCTACAAGTAGACAGAACATAAGTGCGATTTTCGCTACTTTCTGGACAGAGAACTTGTTGGCTTGTCTTCTCGCATGCTCTCCAGCTCTCAAGCTTGCTTGATAGCTGAGTCTTGCCAATAATGCTTCAGTGGCATCGCTCTCTGACATATGACGAACCTCCGCTAATTTACTGAATCTTACTGATCTTATCGACGAATCATCGCTTTCTGTTCCTGAGGAACGATCACAGTGATCTGGTGTTTTTATTGGAACAAATGTTGGGTCGCTCTGCATCAAATCTTTCTTAGTATCAGTACATTCGAACGATCAATAGAGAAACAAGAATCAGTTCTACTTACCAAACTTGTATTGGCTTCTGAATAGAAATTGTCATCCTCTATATTCGGATCTATGAACTGGAAAAAAGTAGTCGTGGTGTAAGTGAGAGGAATGAGTACGTCGTTAAAATGAATTATTATAAATGTACCATGTATGTTGCTGGTTTATTGCACTGATCTCTCCATGGAGGCCAGAAGCACAAACCGAGCAAATAAAATGTGAACATTGACGTCTTTACGTATGTAGTAAAAAATGGCTTTTCAAAAGCAGCTTCTCTGTAAATATACTGAAATGTAAAAGCCATGTATATTATTGGATCTAAATTAGATTACACCTATTCTCATATGGAAATTAGCAGCGTTTCTTACTTTGGTAAGTTCCGAACTAGAGACCCAAATTATATCGACTAGCAACAGAACCAACAGCCCTAATACTAGTCTTTGAGACTTGTTCATCATCGCTGCTAGTTTATGAGGATCCTCCGCTATCCCCTGTTGCCTGCGCTGTCTCAATTCAACCGAACAGCTCATGATCCAGTCAATAACTTTTTATTACTGTTTACAACATCATTGATCACTGTAAAAGTACAAACGACAATCACAAGTGATCCATCTGTCCAACTAGATAATACGTATGTTGCTTTAATTCTTCAAATAATTTGATGAGGAAATTATTACAGTTCACACTTTCAATTAATTATCAGTTGATTAGAAGCATAAGCAGTGTACTTAACACAGTAATAAGTAGTAACTGAATAAATGTACAAAGTCTATATGCCATTTGCATTATAATTGTCGTGTTTTGTACGTGGTAGGAAAGCGACAGAATGGGAACAAGAAACAAAGGAGGAAATGAGGTAGAAAAAAACAATGTTCAAGGTTTCACTAATTTAATTGTCTTACCTCAGTAATACAAGTTCGTTTGTCATTTGGGAATGAAAGATGGTGAAGGGTATATTTATTTAAACAAAGTGTTTACTAAATCTATGAGTTATAACAGGTGGACGTGCGGCAAGTATATAGAGATGATCGTACAGGATAGGATAACCTATGTATAAAAATTCCAGTATAATTAAACGACGAGTGTTCTATCGTGTCCATGTAAAATTATAACACAAAGTCGACTCACACGATTAAAGGCAACCCTTGATTTTTCGGCACTGATCACTGATTTATGCTCCTGTGAGTCCCCTACATTTTGAAATGATCGAGCACCTCGAGCTCTCCAATCGTACACTTAGGTGACACCTTTCGCACCTTGTTATTCAGTTCTCTACTACCAATTTCCTTAACGATGATTACTCCACGCGAGTTTTCCAACTAAATCGTTCTAACGCCTCAGTAATTCTGTCTCGTTATCGCGTCCGAACGATTGCCCGTAATCATGTTGATCCGCTGATGACGTTCTGTAAATTTTGCTATCACTCTGGTGGCGCTACGCGTCTAATAAAGGGCACGCTTTTTCGATCATTAGTCATTCAGTTGCTCATACTTTCTTATCTATTTATCTACGCGGTTTATTTCATTAACAAAAATATTTGTTGTCTGTTATTCTTCTTTCCTTTTTTGTAGAGTAACAAAGGGACATCTTTTGTGTTCGCGAAATTATATAGAAGCGAAGGCAGTTGAACGTTTCTTTACGTGGACATTAATTTCCGATGCTAATTAATAAAAAAGAATACAGCAGGAAACAGATAAAAAAGGGGGGAGAGACGTTCGTAAAAAAGAGATAGAAAAGCGGGAAAGAAATTGTTTGTACATAAACGACCTTTTATTCATGTGTCCCATATTAAAAATTACATATGTTAAATGTTCCGTTGCGTATACATTTAGTACAATTATCTTTACCATACATACAATTATTATTTTAAAATTTCCTTCGATGTAAAGGTGGCTTAAGAACGGGTTGCCATGACGAATAACAGTAACAACAAGTAGATTCCGTGTGACTGTTCGGTTTCGTTATTGTTCCGTGTTTCGTTTCGCTTTTGTTAGATTATTTTAATAATGTCTAACAATGTCATCAGTAACGGTAGAATTCGGCAACAGACGGCCGTGCAGCAACGATTGTCGAATGACAAGGGAAAAAAAGGTTCTTGTCTTTATCTCGTATAGCTTTAATTAAAAAATATTATCATATATTAGACTAAAATTCTTGTAAAAATCGTAGTTCATTAATGAATTAAAAAGTTATAAAAGTTGAATTCGTATAATGAAGCAATACGTGCTTCTTGTCAATTAAATTCGAATCGTGGAATAGGAGTAATTATTTTTTACGAGTTCGGTCTACATTTGTCATTGTTATCGTTGTCAGCTCCGGAAATACCGGCGATAGAGAATAACAATTGGTTGCTGCATCGGCATTACACGCGACACGAGTACAAGACGTGTAAAATTTTGATCGACCAGGAATTGAAACGATCGAACGGGCACAACGAATACGCGAATTATTTAATAGTAAGTAATGAATGAACGTGGGAATTCGGTCGTGATTCGTGAACAAGGGATACGTCAATTTTCATATTTTCAAGGGCTTGATACTGAGGAGGGAGGGGAAGATTCAGGATTCATTAAATTATTTCCAAATCGCCTATAACATCAACTCGACAAACGTTAACAACGTGAAGCAAATAGCCAAATCCTTGTAAGCAAATAAATATCTCACAATCAGTTGCGTCATCAATGAGAACAGAAATCAGATTGATTTGATCAATCAAAAGATCTACGAAAGCTTTTTCGGTTCTGATCGATCCATAGATCTGTTCGTCGTTCGAGTTTTTAAGTTTTTCGAGAACGTAGAACACTTCGCAGTTTCTAATTTCGTCCCAATTCGATGTTATTCGATAGCATGATAATGGGAAGCCACAAACGTGCTGTCGATGCGTACCTGGAAGCCGAGAAGCTATCGAATGTACCGGACTGGGAAATTTATCTGAACCTCGGTAATTATCAAAACAGAAGGGTGTACTATCGCTTCGAGCTTTTCAATCGATCTTCACGAGATAATATGATCGTTCAAGGTGAATGTTGTTTGAAACTGAATCAGTTGTACGAAGCGAAGATGCATTTAAGGAAGTCGATCGAGTTGACGAAAAACGAATTTCCGTACATCGTCCTCGCGAAAGTTTGTCTCCTCGAGGATCACGTTGCAGAAGCCCAGAACGCTTACACGGCAGCTCTTAGGTACTACGCGTATACGCAGATATTATTTAAACGTATTCTTGGTATTCAGCTTCGAGATTATTCCCTCGTGCATATTTAATTTCTTGTTTACGATACATTTTCGAGCAGGTATTACGTTCCACTTATAACTGCAGCTGCAGAATAAACAGGGATAAAACGAGGGAACAATTTTTCAGCTCGTTTATCGTTGTATTCTCTTGTCTTATCGAATAACGCTGACGTGTTTCTATATTTATTTACCGCGAATGCTTAAGAATTATCTCTCAGATTTGAATCGTCGACTCAGCGTCTGCAATTTTCATAGCTAAAAATCTTGTTAGTTATGTTAAACGAAGATATTCTAATTTAAATTCTTTTGCTCATCGACGCAAGCCTTATTACTTGCAGAGTTCTCTGTGTTTTATCTCATTTCCCTGTTCTTTCAGCGGAAACCCTGAGAGTCTGGAAGCCGCAACGGAATTGGGACTCCTTTATCTTAAAACTGGTGATGTTCAACAAGCGTTTCAACAATTCGGGACCGTGCTAGCTCATTATCCAAATTGCACGGAGGCAATTCTACCGATAGCTTATATAATTCAGGTAAGTGAAGCATGCAAAATAGGATATTTAATCTTTGTATCCAAGGAAGGACAATTTGCTTTTCGTTTCTTCATATTAAAGTTTCATATGAAATGAAAACATAACGACGAAAGCAAAAGAATTCTTCTCGTCATATATTTTTATGAATCCAGCAAGCATAAATTAGATTGTTATAAAATGCGAAACAACGTCCCGTGGAATACATGTAATGTGAAACGCGCCTAGACTTCGGGGAATTTAATTAGAATGCGCACATCGTTTTCGGAATTCGGTTACCGCGACGCGTGGTTTTCAGAATCACCAAGAGTACGACGTGGCACTGTCGAAATACAAGGTAGCCGCGCAATCGATACCGGAATCGTACGCCTTGTGGAACAACGTGGGAATGTGTTTTTACGGGAAGCAGAAATTTGTAGCCGTGAGTTAGTTAATCGGAAATTGAAATCTTTCGCATGATTACCTGCACGTTGACATAATGCGCTTAGCTGTTGACACGGTTTGGCTGTTAGCGCGCTTAGCTCATTATCGAGTGCGTCGAAAAGCTGAAGAACAATTTAAGAGGTAGGACATACGTCGCACTTGGGTGATGCACAATTTACGATGCACTTCGTGGTACGCTACAGAAATTAGTCTACACTTTTCATGAGAACACGATAAATTGCTAGCTAGTTGCGAGTCCATGCACGCTGTCGGACTCAATGAGTATAATCAATTTAAAGCTCATTGAAGCAGCTAGTGCACGCACGGAGAATGACACACTTGCGTCTTGGGAGAACTCGATTAAGAGACAGAACCGTGTGATGTATCGAAGAAAATCTGAACATCAATCACGTGGCTTGTCAAGCACGAAACTTGGTTTACAATCGTGAAAGCGTGTTAGAATTTAATTCTCTTACGATCTTTTTTAAACTTTAGATAGAATAAGAAGAGAAACGAAAGAGGCAGGTTCGAGCCGGACATACATATTTAAAACTATCTTTTTGCTCTGAATGAGAAAAATAGACTATTGTCGTATGATTACCTTGACGATCGGAGAACAACAAAGGTGGAAAAACCGTTTTTATTTCCTTCAGAGGGAAGTTTTCTTAGGAATCAGACCAAATATTCTGCGCAAGCAACCATCCCTTCAAAGTACTTTGACGAAAGCCCTTCTCTTTCCAATTAGTTCATTATTTTTCTGAGAGTCATGGAATATTTTCATAAATGCAACGTCGAAAATTTTGATCTAATTATTATCGCATCCAGAAAGTTGGTTAATCCGCGGACGTGACGCCTCTTGTTAGCGAGAGTCTCTTTACTTAAGTGGATTACGTCTAAAGCTCGGCTTTAGTTATTTCGTCGTCGATAAGAAGATCGAGGTCTATTAAGGGTTATTAAAGAAAGAAAAAAGAACAGCGAGCGAAGTCACGCGTTTCAAGAAGTTTTTATTAGCCACACGCCGAATCGATTAATCGAGACGATTTAAAGTGCATATTTTCTATAATCCAATTTGGTCGTTATTGGTCGCGCAATGATATGATTATCATATGTCTTTGTGATCCACCCGCATAGCACCTGCCACCCCTCGTTATTATTGTGCCAGCATAATTATCAGACACATCGGTTTAACGCTCTAATTATCATCATAATAATTAATTGCAGGCAATTAGCTGTTTGAAGAGAGCGCACTATCTAAATCCGATGGCATTTCTGCCCGCCTACAATTTAGGCATGGTCTTTCTCAGCACCGGGCAGCCAGCCTCGGCCGCAATTTATTTGTGCGCCGCGGTCAGCGCTGACCCGAAAAACTTCATGCCGTATCTGCTGCTCGGTCGTAAGCTTCATATTTTTTCTGACAACATTTCTTTTACTGGAATCGATTTGGGGGGGACCAATAAAATCAAGCGTCCTTAATACGTTAACTACTAACTACGAGATATCTCGTAGGTTGCTTTCTTATCCAGGACGCCTACTACGAATTTTCTCATCCCTTCATTACTTGCCATATTTGTGTCTGTGCACGAATTATCTTATAGTTAGCTTCCGCGAAGAGGTTTCTGTTACATAAACCAACCACGAGATAATTTGTAACATGTTTTTTTAAAAAAAAGAAACATTTTTTAAGATTCTTGATTATTGATATGTACTATTATTAAAGTTTTTAATAATATAACATGATTAAATCAAATTGGCTATTTAGACCGGAATCGTGAAAAATTCCGTGTTAAGGATGAATATCGCATGCCTCGATCAGGAAACGTCGAAAACATTTCCCGGAAATAAATTTGCATGAAAAGTACGTCCCAGAAAGCACAGAAATATTTGTGGGTTCACGTGAATAAAAATAACATTTGTATACCGACCAAAGAGCACTGAACTAATATTATTAAATGAAAGCTTCTTTGTTTTTCGATCGTGTCTGAAATTCTTATAGTCGCTCTGAAGCGTTTGGACGACCTGGTAGGTGCGGAAAAGGTGTTGCAAAAGGCTCACGCCCTCGCCCCGCAAGATCCGTTGGTATTAATTAATTATGCCGTTGTGCTAGAAGCTGTCGGCGATGGGAACTCGGCGGCTGAATTTTTAACGGCGTTAAACGATATCGCAGCCGTGATCGATGTGGATGTCCAGGCAAGTCTCGATGGGGAACGGGAACCAATCTACTTTTCTCTCACTCTGGTTACTTGCTGCGACAGATAACGCAGATGGCGAAGAAACTGTCGGTGAAACTCGAACAGGACAAGGCAGCTGGAAAACCGGAAGGGGAAACTAGGATATTGAGCTCGGACGAAGTTTGAAATTTAGTTTGAAAAATAAAGGATTTTGTTGTTTCTGCGAGTGTGTATTGAATTGGGGATAATAAAGGAGTGTGACGACGTTCTCATCAATTTATAATACTCGCGACATTCTTCCTGAATCTTTCTCTATTTATTATACATCCCTGCACGGAAGTGTTTGTGTATTCCGTTTTAATTTCTCCTCCTTATTTATTTACTATTCCGTGGATATTTAGTAATATCTACGTAACAGACCGGATGTCCCTATTGTTTAAATATGTACATACATTACATATGTATGAAACTCTGTATCAAGTACAAAGCCTTGCTCGTCCAACTCGGCACGTGTCAAGGAGATACAGTTTTCTCATTTAAGTTTTCCTCGTTGTACATTAACTCATACTTTCCCATTGGGTTTCAAAAGTGTCAAGGATTAGCCGATCTATCAGGAACATATTCAACAAACATCATGCGTGATCCCGAGGATCATCGAATCGCATTTATTTTCACTTTCGATTGTTACGTCCTGTTCTTTTTACTCTGAGAACAAGCGCAAGAGCGATCTAATTAAATATTCCTGGCAAATTGATCGCGTACTACGCGAGACGAGTCGTCTCAGTTTTCTCTGAACCATCTATCACTCGCGACACAGGGCGTAACCGAGGCTACGTTTTGATTAAAGACTGCAACTTCTTTCTCGATATTTATTATCTGCCATTGTACTGTACTTCAGCAATTTCTTAAATGCTGAACTCTTTCGAGATGTAAATATGTTGAGGCTACTAATTGAATTCGAAAGGATTGCTTAAGGATGTACATATAGGCTATACATATACTTAAACAATGCTGGCGTGTTGAATTTGTTATTATAGATCCTTATTACTATTAAAAATCTAAAATTATAGTGATTTCAAATTTTTCATAAGTAATAGTATCATCTACAACTTTTACTTGAAGCATTTTTCGATATTTTGAAAAAAAAGATTTTCTTTATTTTTCCGATATTTTTCCGATATTTTTCCGATATTTTTCCCTTCAGATTTCGCGAAATTTTCGTTTTTTGCCCATAACTTCCAAACGGGTGGACTTAGGGGAACATTTATACGACCATTCTTGTAGAGGACGACGAGATCTACAATTTCGATGTACAAATTTTTCGCTAGCATCAATAATTAACGAGTAATTTGCAAAAAACTGTTTTTTCGTTTTTTGCAAATTACTCGTACATTATTGACGCTAACGAAAAACTTGTATACGGAAATTGTAGATCTCGTCGCCCTCTACAAGAAAGGTTCTATGCAATTTTCTCGTAGGACGTACAGTTTAGAAGTTATTAAGGGAAAACGAAATTTTTTTCCAAAAGTTCGCCGTTTCTACGGTGGCGGTCGAATGGTCGGATTTTGTCAACATCAATAAAATGCCAAATAAACATACTTAACTCATTAAATATCGAAATTAGAAGAAGAATGCATTATTTTTAATTATAGGGAATGCGTTTTTCAAAGTACATAAACTTTTGGGATTGACTGTATAGCCAATACATCCTTAATTAAAAATTTAACTGATCGAGAACGTCAGAAGAATTTCAGTCTCATTCGCGGAAAGATGACACGGCCAGTCGACTTCGAGGAAGATAATTAATTGAAAGGGTGCTCGAGCGTGGAGCTACTCGACCAGATAATTCAATTACAAAAAGGTGCAAACGATGCAGAGACGATTTTACTGGAAAATCAATATGTCCTCCCGCGACCTCGAACCCCTCGCAATCTTTTATACTTGAATTTCAAGTCACCGGAAGAAGATTATTGCACGAGGGAAAAAATTATCTCGTGAGCAGCTACAAAGCCGCGATCAAGCCGCGTTTAACTCCGGCAAGTTCAGGATCAGACTCACACAGACTGAATAATAATATCAGCGCATGGGATGATCCATTTTTTGAAGTGAAGCAACTTCTAACGATATTTGCCTTCGTACAAGGAGATAGGAAATTGACACGAAACAGGCATTATATGAAAGCCAAGAAGACCAGTTTCGATGAGAAGAAGATTTATCAACTTCTGACAGGAAAGTCGCAAGATTCGATGAAAATAGAGGAACTACGTCGTATGATGTGTTTTCAGTGAGACTTTTTTCCTACACACTTTTCCGTCTTGAATATTCATAAAACAGGAAAATCGAATCATTTTCATAATTATGTAACCACCACGGTTGTAACGTTGTTTGCACCACGGTTTTGATTATACCGGCCAATACACACCGTTCAAAATCGATTTAATGCTCCAATTCCTTCCCGGCAATTAGCCGGTCCTATGAACATTTCGGGCCACTTTGATCGCCGATTAGCCATTGTTTCTCCTCCTGATTGGACCAGGTGGACGTGTCCGGGCGATCGTAACACAAAAAATAGAACAATTTTTTACAGTCTGCCATTGATAGGGGAAATATTTACAGCCACAAGCTGTAGATAGATGTACTTAAAAATCTTCGTTACGTGTTAATGCATACTTAAACATTAACTTTAGTTAGTAAAGAGAACGTAGTTTCTTGAAACAACTTTCAAACAGTCTGCCTTGTGAAATTTCGTCAACTTTACGCTAACATTAGCCTAAATTGAGCTTGGCAGATTGTAAAATATTGTTCTTAGACGATTGTTCTTATACGATTTAATTGCTAACTAACATAAGTACGCTTTATTCTTGTACTGGAGAAAACCATCTGCCAATAAGCTTTTCATGGATTGCGCAATCTTGCCTTGTGCTCAAATAAATGGCAGACTGTTTGAAAGTTGTTTCAAGAAACTACGTTCTTTTTGCTAACTAAAGTTAATGTTTAAGTATGCATTAACATCAATGCAATATCTACAAATCTATCTGCTGTAAATATTTCTCCTATCAATGGCAGACTGTAAAAAATTGTTCCATTTTTTGTGTTACGAGCGCCCGGTCTATTTATGTTTATTCGATACTAATTTTAGGATTAATTATGGCTATATTTTATCAAAATATCAATAGAATTTCTGATTATGTTTAAAAAATGAATTGATTAATACAAGGATGGTCGTTTGTTCGCATAAATTTGCAAATTTACACAGTAAATATAATTGACCGGACTCGACAATGAAAAATTCATCGCGTACGCAGTAGCCGGGAATTTTTCAATTGGCTACGCGTATTTAAATTTGATTCACGATCTGTATTAATTACTGTGAACTTCGAATTTGCGGCATATTAATTATGTAAATTAATAACTGAAGTTATGTATATTATGAGTACATGCTACGAATGGATGACGCACGATAAATATGTAACAGATTGATCATCGTTAAACGTGTAACATCGATACGTTGCACCTACCTACGTTTGTCCGCATAATTTATCGGACACATTTGCTAATGCCTGCTTCACCGGGAATCCAAAATGTGTTGCGTAAATTTTCGTTTGGACCAGCTTCGAACGTGGTTAAAGTTAGTTGACGTTCGGAAATGAATTGTTTCAAACTACATTAAATAAATCGCTTTGCTTCGTGACTTCGAAAAATTCAAAATGCAATTCTCTTTGTACGCTTGTAATTCTCTTTTAGTGTCGTGCAAGCTTTGAACGTTGGATCAAGCTTGCTCTCAGCATTATAATAGACCTGCCATTCGCATCGACAATATGAAATTTATTAGTTAGATCGGAAGTTCGATAAGTTCCTCGGCGTTCGCTTCAGCGGTCCAACTAAAATCCTCTTATCCACGATTTTCAAAGCCGACGATGCATATTTTTACATATAAGCCGAAACATATTTTTACATATAATACACACATTTGACAAATTGCTTATTATCTATCAATTGAGATTGATGAAAACTGAATACCGTGAACGCATATCTATTAGTATTAATCTGCACATGTACTCTACCTGCTTATAGTTGATTCGCTTACACGACCTGTGATATCCAGTCGATCGAGCCAAATTAACGATGGACTGCAGTTTTATTGCATCCATTGACAAATCGTGAATACTGCAACACTTAAACAGCGAAATGGATTAAAAACATCTGCGGTTTGGCCATGACGTGACTCTAAAGACGCGTAGTCTCTAGATCCTTCAGCCTGCATCATACGTAAGTGCTCTGCACGGTGTCGGTCTGTTGGACGGCAGGCTGCCACTTGTTCATCAGCCTGGGCTTGAACAGCTGCCCGAAAGTGGTGCGGAATTGTCTAGACATGGAGCAGTAGAGGATGAAGTTAATGGCGCCGTTCAGCAACGCGAGGATGTCCATCACCTCGCCGAAGTTGTGGTAACAGTTACGGAAGAAACAATCGCCGAGAATGCCGGACAACAAGCCGAGTACACCCTGAGGGATTTCGGTGACTAGAAATAAAAGCAGCACGGCCACGAGCATCTTGGTCGTTCTGTCCGCTCTCTTCTCGGACTTGCTCGGTCTCCTCGCGACCAGGCCGTTGACCACACCGCCGCTCGTGTATTGGTTGTAACTCTTCAACGCTTGTTTCCTTCCCTTGGCTCTGGAACACGATTCATTTCGATTCTTCTAAATAGAAATTCCGTCGAAACGTCGACATGCAACCGACGAGTAACGAAGGTTCAAATACGTATTGCTCGAGGTACATATTACCTGTAAAGAGCTTTGATCAGCCAGCAGCTGATTACGGTGAGAATTATGCAAGGGAGAAGTTTCACGACGACGCTCAGCACCCAGAAATTCAGCTGGTACAAGAAATCCTTGTGCTGTGAGTAATCTGCGTCGACTGTGTACGCGATTTCCAGCGTACCGTTCTCGTTCACCGTTCGTTTTATGATCTAACGAGCAAATAACACGAACGAGCTCGATTGGGGAATGGAGGATAAACAAGATTCACTTACCCCGAACACGGCATAGCTGGGAGCGCAGGCGATGATTGACGCCACGAAGCTGCACCAGAGAGCTGTTCTGCAACGCGAAGCCGTGCACCAAGTATTGTACTGAGGAAACCTTAACAACAGAAATTCGAACTTCATTTCATTTGTATTCTCATAACAAGCGTTTGTTCTGGGATTCATATTTCTCATATGCCTCAGCTAGTAGAAACACAATTTCTTTAACAATAATTTTATCAAACAATACATTTTTCATTTGATCAAGTTTATCATTGTTTGACTGCAATTCACCTCTATATATTCTCCTTGTGCAGAGGGAATTATTCTGCGAACGATAAAACTGTACAGGTTGGCATGTGAAGGCAGATTGATCGAATGGAGATTAAACTTTAATTTTGTGTTTCGCTTTAGGTAGTTATCACCTAAATGAACATTATTCGAAAAAATCACGAAACTTTCAATAAAATTAATACTAGATTGCCCAAGGAATTAATTTTGACTGCTTTTGGGCAAATGTACAAATAATAATGCATAA